AGTAAAAAGATTAAAGTTTTATCCGGTAGTTTGGCCAGGTAAGGATAGTACTAGAGGTTGATCAAAAATCTATTAAGTACCTCGTTACTTGCATAGCACTTTACGCAACTCTTAAACCTTGCCTTAGACACCAACTAATCCAAGAAAACTTGAACCAATTCACTTAAAGATTTCTTGTTCATTTACTGTATATATGTATATGAAAAGTGACAGATACAGAAATTGAGTACAGTAGCAGCAAAATAAAATTAATTAGTTAACAAATTAATTTAGTTAATTGAGTACAGTAACAACTAATTTAGAGGCAACATTAGTTAAGAAATTAAAACAATTAAGTATAGGTTAAAAATACATATTTAAAATTAACAGCAAAATATCTCAATCTTCTAGATTGCTGTCAAAATAGGAATATAATAATAATAATATAAAATCCAAATTAAAGAGTTAGAAAATTCAGGCCTGATCGGGAGCAGACGTGATGTCACTGTCCTAGAAGATTAAGAACCTGCCTATCGCTCTGGCGTAATCTGTCCCCTCTCCCCTAATGGTAAAACCCCCCCGGAATCAACCGACCTCTGCGCTCGGGCATGAGTCACAGAGCTTATGCTCAGACGAAAATGGTTGCCTAAAATATAAATGTAAAAGTATAGCCGAAATAACTTAGAAGAAAAGAGAGTGGAGAAAGAGAGCTTTGGAAGTTGTTCTTCTTGTTGTTGTATATCTGAATGAGGTCTACGGCTACTTATATAGGTGAGGAGAAGTGTAACCCCCGCTGAATCAAAGGAATCGTTACGTATGAATCTCGTTTTCGTTACCCGCATGCAGCCGTTACAAAACGTGTAAAACATGCAAAATAAAAGCTTGAGAAGCAAAAATGTGTGCATGTACGGTGCGGCGTGGCACGCGAGGCAAGGTGAGGTGAGGCGTGGCGTGCGTGCGTGCACGCGCGTGTGTGATAGATATGCGAAGCCAACAAAACCCAAAACACTATTTAAAGCCCAATAAGGAGAGAACCATTATATACCCTATACTATTCATCTCCTTTCCCAATGTGGGACTATCCACAAAGGTAAAATTACCTTTTCATGAACAAAACATACAACAGTCCTCTCTTGGGACTATCTTTTAACAGTCTTGTCCCTACACTCATGAGCAAAATGATATTGCTGAATGTAAACATCGTCATATCCTCATTACCGCTCGATCCATACTCATTTCTTACTATGTTCCTCGTTCTTTCTGGGCTGAGGTCATTCTCACTGCTACTCATGCTATTAATATCACTCCATCTAGCTCTCTTTCTGGTACTACTCCTCATAGTCATGTTTATAATCATTCTCCCCGTTATGATTTGGCCCGCGTTTTTTATTGTCGCTATTTCGTTCTTCTACGATCTCACGAATGTGGTAAATTATCTCATTGAGCTATTTTTGTATCTATTTAGGAATTAGTTCGGAACATCGAGGTTATCATTGTTATGATCCCGCAACTCGTCGAGTTTATATATCTCGTCACATTCAGTTCGAAGAGGATTCTCCATATTATTCTGCTTCTGATGACTTTGATTTTCTCCACTCTACTAATCATGCTTCCTCGTCAGCTGCATCACCCACTTCTTCACCTCAGTTTTCCTTTTGAGATCTCCCTGACATCTCTCAATCTCTTTCTGTTGACTCTTCCTGGCTCGAACCTTCTTTTATACCATCTGATCCCTATCTTGTGAACATGACACTCACTCCAGAAAACACTATTGATCTCCACGCACCTGCGCTAACATCTTCCCCGCCTGAAGTTCCTCTTGCTCTTTGTCGAGGCAAACGCACACATGTCATGTTTTCCCAGTATGCTTCAGTTACTTCCTATTCACCTATCTTTTTATAACTTTCTTGCTGCCATTCATACTACCATTGAGCCAAAGTTATTTCAAGAGGAAAATCAATTTACAGAGTAGCGACATGCTATGGATGAGGAATTTTAGGCATTTGAGCAAATACATACCTTGGATGTTGTTCCCTATCTCCCTAGGATCTCTCTTGCTGGCAGTAAACGGGTTTATAAGGTTAAATATCGTCCTGATAGCACCATTGAACGTCGGAAAGATCGTTTAGTGACTCGAGGTTTTACTCAGTAACAAGATATTGATTATGAGGAGATATTTGCCCCTGTTACTCAGATGCCCACCATTCATACTCTAATTGTGGTTGTTGTTGCTCATCGTTGGCCCTTATACCAGATGGTTGTCAAGAATGCTTTTTTCCATGGCTCTTTATCTAAGACAGAATACAACAGCCTCTAGGTCCAATATTCCTCCGGGACACGTATGTCTCCTTCGTCATGCTGTTTATGGTCTTAAGCAGGCACTCCACGCTTAGTTTGAGTGTTTTCGTGATGCCGTGCTCAAGGCGGACTTTATGGAGAGTCATCAAGATGCTTGTCTGTTTGTTCGTACTACATCGCGTAGCAGAGTTTTATTACTCCTTTATGTAGATAATATGATCATTACAGGTGATGCTGCTGCTCCTATATAGTTCGTAAAATCTCAATTACAACAACAGATCAACATGAACGATCTTGGATCTCTTCGCTATTTTCTTGGTTTAGAAATTTCTCAGGGCTCGCGAGGTGTACTACTGTCTCAACAGAAGTATCTCTAAGATATTCTAGGTCGCGCTGAGCTATCTGACGATGTAACTGTCGATACTCCACTCCAACAGAATGTCAAACTTTGCTCTACTGATGGTGAGTCTCTATCTGATCCTACCCGATACCGACATCTTATTGTCCAGTTGGTCTATTTATTAGTGTCTCACGTTCTGCCCACTATATTGTCTTATTACGAATTCTTCGGTATCTCCGGGGTACTAGCACTCACTCTCTTTTGTTTCCTGTTACATCCAAGTTAGAGCTTTGTGTATATTCTGATGATGATTGGGCTAGTGATCCAACTACCAATAAGTCTACCACAAGTTATTGTATATTTCTTGGTGATTCCCTTATTTCTAGGCGGAGTAAAAAACAAGATGATATTGTTCTTTTCAGCACCGAGGCATAGTATCTTATAATGTCCACAACAACTAAAGATATTATTCATCTTCGTCGTCTTATCAGTGAATTCGATATTTCTGTTATGACTCTTACTCCACTCTATTATGATAATAATAGTATCATCCAGATTATTAATAATCTAGTATTTTATGAAAGGACCAAACATATTGAGATCGACGGTCATTTTTTCTGTTAATAAGTTATCAAGGACAAGACAATTCTATTTCACCATGTCTCATCCGCTGACGAGCTTGCAGATTTTTTCACAAAGGCCTTACCCGTTCATCGATTCCAGTTTCTTGTACGCAAACTCACATTGTTTGATCCAACATGAGTTTGAGGGGGGCCGGTGATAATATTGTGTTAGTAGTGGGTTTAGTCTCATATTGGTTATGAGGACAAACCTCACCCTCCTCTATTTGTGTGTGTGTGTTTATATATATATATATATATATATATAGTATATATATATATATATATATATATATATATATATATTATAGAGAGAGAGAGAGAGAGAGATAAGAGAGAAAAGAGAAATGAATATGCTTGCGTACCAAGCACTAAAGGTTGTGCTTGGTAGTGAGGTGACATAACCCCCTCCACTCATTATAGTTACATATTCTCGATGCACTCTTTCAACTCATGTGAATGTAGTCCCCATTTTGAATGGAGTGGATGAGATTGTGTCATCTCACTACCAGCACAAAGATTAATCACTTTGTTTAGGCCAAACATACCCATATTTCTCATATATATATATATATATATATATATATATATACACTTAATATTCAATTCAAGAAAAATTTACCCAAAGCTCTTTGCCTCTCACTTTAACACACATGAACGAGCAATCACAAGAGATCTGATCTCCTTCTATTTGCATCTCATAGCAAGAGCGAGTTCTAAACTTACCATTTGTTCGTAGCACTCCAGGTCAACTTGTCACCTTGAAGTCGAACCGGAGGAAAAGGACATCCTACCACACGCTCCGGTACATCCACAGTAAGCCATCGCTGCTGTAGATAGAGATTAGGGAGCATGAAACACGAGCAGCAAAGATGAGTGGTCATTTCTGAATTTTCTAATAGGGTCTTTGACCAGGATGGTTTTCGATTGCACACCGTAAGCGTCTCTGACATCATAGTCCTATGTACAGTTGTTTTGCATACAACTCCCTGAGCTTCTTTATCCCACGAAACACCTTGAATTTTGGGTTGTCTCACGAAACCCCTCTAAACTTGAAACCTATCTATGCGGACGTCATCCGAAATTAGCGAGTAACTAAAACGTCCTCAAGAGAAACCTCTCACTACCACATATTTGCTCTAACGCAACGGTTCAAAACCGTTGCGCTAGCCATGGAACCGTCGCCCTTGAGCAAGTGCAACGGTTCTCAACCCGCCTCATATGCTGCCGTTGCCCTAGCTCTACCGTAACGGTTTTGAACTCTATTGCGACGGTTTTTTGAACCGTTGCCCCTGCATCTAACGCAACGGTTTTAAAAGGTAAGTGGTTTTTAAGCCATTGCAACGGTTTTGATTGAGCTATTGCGACGGTTTTTAAGCTATTGCAGCGGTTTTGATTGAGCTATTGCGACAGTTTTCAAGCTACTGCAGCGGTTTTTTTAGATATTACAACAGTTTTAAAAGACCTAACGCAACAGTTTTAGTAAGCTAAAGCTATGGTTTTGATAGAGCTACGGCAACAGTTGGAGCTATTACAACAGTTTTAAAAGACCTAACGCAACGGTTTTAGTAGGCTATAAGTATGGTTTTGATAAAGCTACGACGACAGTTGGAGCTAATGCAACAGTTTTAAAAGACCTAACGCAACAGTTTGGATCGAGCTATCGCAACAGTTTGGATCGAGCTATCGCAGCGGTTTGGATCAAGCTATCGCAACGGTTTTAATCGAGCTATTGCAACTGCTCAATCGAAGTTGTTCTTGGTTTCCTACGTCAAAATAATTATAGTATTCAATTACCTGGACAATCTTTTTAAGAACATGGCAAAATAATTATAGTATTCAATTACCTGGACAATCTTTTTAAGAACATGGCCAAGTCAAATTTTAATACACAATATAAAAGTGATTATGTTGAGCATAATCAACCATAATGATAAGTGCCAACATACATCAGTATAGTATAAAAACTACAAAGTATTAAATCCACACTACCAACATTTCAACTCAGAAAATATCGTACCGAACTAACATTCAAACAATGTACATCAACATTTGATTACAAAACATGAAACTTCTGAAATTGGAAGGTGATATGTTGGCCTGCCAGATGATTAAAAGTCTCCCTCCTGACATTGGACACAAAAGTAAGTATAAATAATTACTATAGAGATAAACCAATGATAGAAGCAGAGAAACATTTACATGTATATACCGAATCAGACCCTGTCGTGATGTGCACTCAACATATGTGCCCGATACGAGTACACTGGCACTTGAAAACTAACTATAAAGAGTATTGGAGGGTTAAAGTGACAATCACCAACTTCAACTTAGTTCAGAACTATAGTGATTGGAATTTGGTGATACAACATCCAAACCTGAAGAGCTTAGCGCATGTTTTCAGCTTTAACTACAAGCCTCTGATCGAGTATGGCAATATCAGTGAGTGCTCATTTTTTCTCATGCTTTTATGTTCCAAATACTAAGATCGTTATTTTTTTCTGGCTGAGTTGTTCATTGCTAAAATGTATTGAAAGAAAAGAATCGATAGATATTTGGTGTTACCTTAGACATTTAGAAAAGTCTGTCCCAATTTCACTTCACATGTAAATTAATTTTGATTTTTCTTTGGATTAAATGAGTCATGTAGACTTCAGAGAATATGACAGCTTTCTCTTAAAGACTACAATACAATACATTTTTTATGACATACTCTATAAATTTAAAAATAGGATGCTTAGAAGAAAATGAACATTGTGCTAATCAAAATAACTGTCGACATTTAATAGTTCAAACTCTAAAACTCATCTAATTGCTTATTCTTTTGTACACGTGCGCACATTTGTTTTTTGTTGCAGTGCATTTCATGTACAGGACATGTCTAATGATAATTCATCTAATATGACATTCATCAAGTCATGGCTGATATTTGCATTATTGTTTCGATACTGTAAAATCAAATTACGAAACCGTCTTGCTACATGTCCGATGTTGTAATCAGTAAGAATAAATCCCTTGTACAAGTGCTAGAAAGAAAAGTTCAGTTAGGCAAATTAGATATTTCCAGAATATAAATGATATTGGAAATAAAGCTTCCAATTTAAGACAGAAATTTAGCTATCCTAATCGGTTTCAGAATTTGGGTTCAACTCGATATAGTTACAATTTCAAATAGCTTAAAAAAGGGACCAAATAGCAATTAAATAATTTGAAGGACTAATTTCAAATAGTTTGCATATGATACAAAAATTGATAAATATATCTGGGAGCAGAAACAATACCGATTCAATGGCATAGCAAGGGACCATCAAGATAACACCAACCAGAAACTTCTGCAAAAGATATTGGGGAATAATAAAATTGTGGAAAAAAAGATATTGCAATCATTCAAAATAAATAGCTTAACATAAAGGAAATAATCCACCTGCATCAAAACCTTCCATTTGAGTAAAATAGGTGGCTACAGATAGTGCATTTCTGCTGCCAGTTGTTCCTGTTGACAAGCATAATGTGCTAAATGAAATGAGAACACAAGGAAGAACTCTACCTCACAATGAAAAGAACACATCTCCAGTTTTTGCATAATTACATTATGACGCCAACTGATCGAGATGTTAACCAAATTAAAGTAAGAGAGGAGAACAAAAGCTTACTTCGCAGAACAACTTGTGAAACTGGAGAAAAAACTGATGAAAAAAGATATGCTTCTTACTCAAATAGCTGAGAGAGAACTATTTGAGTATCAATTATGCAAAGATTCACTACGATTCACTACACAAAGGAAACGTTCCAAACATTACGTACGAGTTTGCTCCTCCTTTGCGAAATGCATCTCACTTAGCATATATACGATTCGTTGTTCATGTATTGTTTGATGATCTTCCCCTTATTTCTTGTGAAAAACGATATGCTTCTTACTCACTACATCTTTTGCCTGAGGAAAAGATAAAAATTGATACAGAGAGAACCGAAATTAGCAGATATTTGTTCTCAACGTACTTAGTTTTTGCATTACAATATGCTGAACTTACTATATCATGCAATATGGTAAACCGGAAATCTCTCTAGAACACAAAGGAGAGCGAGAAGAAAGCAACGAGGAAAAAGAAGAAGTAACTGAAACGAGTCAAGAAAAAACTACAGAAACCAGTTCAAGAGCTAAGAAGGCTAAGAAATGTCGAAGTGTAAAAGGTACTTGCCTCTTCATGATCTAGAACACTAGCAGCCTCTTCAGGAAGTTTAGTACGCGCTTTAAACCTGTCAACAAAGCTTGGACTAACTGGACGTCCAGTTACTTCACTCAACATATCTGCAAATGTTTGAATCATACTTGTAGCTTGAGCTTCTTGTTGTCTCTTCATCTCCTCTTGTTGAGTGGCCACCACCTTCTTTGTTATATACATACATCTCAAGCATCAACAAATTTCATGAAGAAGAGAAGGCATATGCCAAACCAACAAACACAAATGCATTAACAGAACAAAAAGAGTGAGAAATCGGAGCAAGAGGTTATCAGAAGCGTGTAAGTAATGCTAACCAGTGCACAAGCGTCAACGCTAGAGTTTAAAACCAGAAACAGAAACTAAAAGACTTCCAGTATGTAGAATTTAGCCGCTTGGGCAGTGAACAAGCATTGCAGTATAATAGAGCACATTATAACAATATAACCACATATAAGAATTTCCAGTATAATAACCGACCCAAGTCCATAATCGAAGGTAAAAAAAATGTTGTTACCGCCATCCTCTACTAACATCAATATGAGTTCAATACATCATTTCAAATGGCTTGAAAGGATGTGATATTAGGACCATGCCAAAACAAACCAAGAGACAACTGGTTATGCAGACAAATGACAAACAAATAACATGATCTACAGAATACACACAAGGTTATTACCTACCACAAACGTCAAAGAAAAGACCCAAAATGATGAATTGAATTTTCAGCTGCTACAAACCAAATATCACTAATGTGATACTTTTCTCACTATATGTTGGTCAAATTTTACCTCACTTCTTAAACCCATATCAACCGGAAAAGGAAAAAAAGCCACTATAATGTTCGGAACTTTTCTGATTTCTACATATTTTTCGCTGGAACCAACAGCGTCATGACACTAAAAGGGCTTTACCTACTAAAACCTGCATAGCCTTTGTCCGAGAAGATGAACTATGTACCATTAATACACAGCACCAAGATGCATTCCGCTTTTCCCATAGTTTCAGAGTCCAAACAGTACACTCCAGTAAAAGACAAACCTAACTAACATCATATACTTCCCCAGAAATATGATGCCTTCATAAAAGCTTAACAAGGTGCAGGACTAACTAAAGGTGCAGTACTACAACCACACTTCAAAACTACGTTGTGTTAGGGTTCGTCGGACAATAAATTATCATGTTTTGAAGTGATACCACCTAACAAAACTGCTGAGCCACTTAATAGCATCAAGTGATCACCATATTACAAAAAAGAAATATGAGAGCTAGCAATTCTCTCAAATCACGAGACTTCAAAATGCTAGAGTTTGGATTTTCCCATCCTCTAGTCAATCTCAAGCTCTTGAATAAATAAGAAGCATAAAAGATGCTATTTTCACATTATGGCTACAAAAACACAATAGCTAGTTACTAACAAAGTGTCCATACCAAACATAAGAGTTACGATTGCTGCGCTATATTATCTCATTGACAAATTACCTTCTACTTTATCTGATAATAAACACTCACGTTATCCTAAACTCCCTAATCGTATCTCTATCTGGACTAATCACACCATTTATATTATACTCGCCTTGAAAGGAAGGGACTTTTAAACAGTTTAATATCACGAAGACAAAATTATTGACCTAAGATGGCATGTCTCACCGGTCTAACTTATTGAATTCATTTTTTAGTAGTCTAAAAGTGTCCGAAATAATCAAAGTCATAGGTGCTAGTCAGAGACTTGAATGTCCGAAATAATAACTCACTCAACATCATTGTGCAAATTACTGTCTTATTCAGGAAGTACAGAAAAGACACGTGCTAACATTTATCATCAAATAATCTAAATACCTTAAGAGCAAATCTAATCACAGATACAAACCCACTGAAATGATATAACAATAAATAATTATACACGACAAAATAACATATTATTCATCATGATGTACTTGCTATTTAGATACATTATTCACAATATTGTTGACATGCTCCATCATCAAATTCTTCATACTTACTGTTTCTTCTTTGATAACATGAGCTACCCCAAATCATTTTCATGTTCCAACTCTTAATAGTCTCTAATAAGAAGACAGTAAGAAAATAAAGATAGGAGGGAGAATAATCATTTTACATATAATAGGATATTTAGACATACAGATACAATCACCATGGATGAATTCCCTTTCCAAATTACCACATCTAATTGGTTCAGAAATGTCTCAAGTTCATTTCTAAAAAGAAAATTAATCCTAATACTAGTCAATGATATCAATAGGACTAAATATTCATCGATGTTATACTAGCCCAATTCTGCTTGAACACTAATGGCAATGAGGTGCATTTTCATTCTAGTATAAAATTACAATGAACTTCTACTCGTAGTAGTAATGCTGTTCCTGCTATTAGTTGGTGAACATAGCAGATTTACTCATCGACATGCATGTTCTTTTTTGTTCGGAAAATAATCATCAATGTGAGTATTGCAGATGATATAACAAAGATCTGTTCCATGAAAGAAGAAGGATGAAATTAAACGTTTTGTTAATTTCCAAATTTCCATGAAAAATGAACAGAAAATCCAAATTATAATTGGTGTATCAGATATCACAGAAACTTCACCAAACATATACATCCTTTTAAGTTAAAAGGGTCATATTACTTTAAAATTCAAACAAATTAAAACTAAGATATGAAATAGTTGCATTTATCTTATGGTTCTTCCAGACTCTCACCAAATCTTTCTTAACCTGGTAAAATCATTATACTCTTCTAATATGCATTCATAGTACACTGACAATATATAAAATAGAAAAAAAAAACAATAAAAAACGAGATCAGATAAATTGCATATCAAAGCTTCAAAGCATTACCAAGTTCAAAACAGAGGATTGATGCCAAGGGCACATCCCATAGTTGCACTTTTCTGCAGGCCACCAATCAAGAGTCACACATACGAAAGATCGATCGGTATTGGCAATGGTGGTCGCCCCCTCTATGTCTACAGTCACATTTACAGAATTGAATAGCACGGAGCTGAATCTAAAGTATACACAACATGAAAATTCAAATAAAAATATGTTCAATCGTCAAAAATTTACAGATAAATAAGATGCAAAAAGGGAAACGACAAGGTTGAATCTAAGAGTTCGGAGTGGAAGAGAAATCTGACCGAGTACCAGCTGAAACCCTAGAAATCTCCGGCGAGGACTGGGCTCGATTTCCGGCGAGGACTGGGCTCGAAGATGATATCAGAGAGGAGATAGGAGATGAGATCCACGATGAACACAGCGACGAATTCAGTGATCGATGAGATCGCCGATTTTAGGCCATGGCGGAATTTTTGAGAGAGAGAGACGAATTCAGCGACGGAATTTTTTGGCCATGGCGGCGGCGATTTTAGGGATTTGAGAGAGAGAGATTTCCTTTAAGCGGTGGCGTTTAAGCGGTGCGGTCAAACATGGGCTTTACTAAAGCTCAAAGGCCACTAATAATTATTAAGCCCAGGAACAATTATTAGGTCTATGGCAACAGTTTTCTATTAAATGTTGTATTAGACACTGAAAACCGTTACGATAGATCTCTAACGCAACAGTTAAAACCGTTGCGCCTTAACTGTTGCAATAGATCATTTATGTGGTAGTGTCTTGATTTAGTCATTTGTCATTTATATCTTTCGCTCGCAAGGACGTTGTCATATTTTTCCCAATTTGAATTTTTTGTGGGATGGACAATACACTTTTCCATTACTTAGGGAAAACTTGAGAATGTGAAGCACAAAAATTCATTATCATAAGGTTGGCAACTATATACCCTTGAAAAAAATCAGTACAACGTCTGTGGAAAACAGCGAGAGAAGACGGGCTTTTTAGGGCGCTGGTATGAGAGGTTTGTGTTCTCAATTGCAATGTTCTTTTATAGGCTTTCCTTCCCTTCATCTCCACCCACAAATTATTCACGTCAACTACAAATTAAGGCTATTTATTGCCCTAATTTAATTTACGTAATGAGCCTATTAGTTCTCTATTAATGGCCAATTATCACCCATTTACGTATGGGTATTTGGTTGATTAGGTGAACCCCACTAACAACGTTGATAACTAGCTTCGTTTGGATACCATGGTGTTTTCCTTGATGTGTTTTTGTTAAAAAACATCATGGTGTTGTGTTTTTTCCTTCAAATGTTTTCAAAACACCATGTTAAGTATTTTTGGTCAACACTATTTGACCATTATAACATTAGTATTAAACATATTATTAATATATTATATATTAATTATAATAAAATATATTGTAAATAAAATGTTATAATATTTAGTTTACATTATTATAGTATTATAAGTATTAAATGTAATGCAATATAATATTGTATAATGTATTATAATATAATATTGTACTTTAATGAGTTATATTATATTATAATTATTACATATTATTTTTAAATAATTATATATTAAATTATTTTGTTATATCAGTTTGTTATTGTTGTATATTATATTAATATTTTCATAATAATGTTATTTTATTATTAATATAACATTATACTATTATTAATATAATATAATATTATTATTTATATAATAATTTTTACTTTATAATAAATTATATTATTTATTACATAATATATTAATATTTTATATATTATATTACATTTACTATACAACATGTTATTATAATATTATTATAATATTGTTATGTTATTATTAAATATGTTGCTATTATATAATATTTAATAATTATTACTTTATTAAAATTTATTTATTAAAAAGTTAATAATATTATAGCAATTATACTATTGTACAGTATATTATTATATCATTATTATATTATTATTTATTATCAATAAATTTGTTATTGTTTTTTATTATTTTATTTATATTTTATTATTATTTAGTTATTATATTAACATATTAAATATTGGTATTTAGTATGTTATTATATTATTATATAAGATATTTTATTTATTATATTTTTATATTATTTAATATATGTTACTAATATATTAAGTTAACTATAATATATTATAGTATAATATAATATAATAAGCATGTGTATAATAACTCTATATTAATTATATTTAATATATTATATTAGATATTATATTAACACATTCATAAACTCAAAACCAAAACACCAAACTTAAAACACCTAAAAGGTGTTTTGAAATAAGTGTTGTGTTTTTGGTTTGAGGATGATTTAGCTCAAAAAACACAATGGTTTCCAAACGCATGGTGTTTTATTTTTGACAAAAACATCATGGAAAGAAGTAAAACACCATGGTATCCAAACGGAGATGTTTTAAGTTTGGGCCGTAGTTTTTGTCCAATGTGCAACTGGCCATGGATGTGGAAAGTTTTTATTTGGATTAATTTAAACTTCCACCATTAAAGAAAGAATAGTCGTGCGGATTGAGTTGATGGTCAGACTTACCAATTTCTTAATGAGAAGAACTTTTCTTATTAATCCTTAACATCTTTGACATTTTGATGTCAGTCTCTCCCATCACTAAAATTGCAACAGGTTTCCATTAAAAAAAAGGGCGATTAGGTCCCGAAATGCTAATATCTTCCTGTCACTATTCTTTGTTGGAGTGGTTATTTTAAAACAACTTACAAGAATTTGCACCTAAAGTAAATTTCACGATTTGGGGAGTAAACTTTGTAACAAATTAAGAATTTGCGTCTGATAACAGTTCAATGATTCGAGACATGACTATCAAAATATTAAAGATTTAAGGTACTAATACCAAAATAATACACTGGATCTTTTTTAACCCAATTTTCTGTATTTTGTGCTATAGTTTCTTAATTCCGATATTTTGGTGTAAATTAATTTCTAGATATATTTTTGGATTAGTTATTTTGTAAAACACCATAATAAAGAATTGAGGAAATAGAGAAACCGAGCATAAAAATAATTCAATATAAACATTTCGTATTTAAGAATGATTTTGGAAGAGGGTGGCCTTAAAATTAAGTCAAGGTAAGACTGTGCGCTTAGAAACAAAAAACCTGAAAAATGAAGACACATAGGAAAATAAGAAATCTCTAAAAAGTATAGACAATTTTTAGTTTTGACAAGTCAACTTAATCAATTTTTACATTTTGAAATTTTCTCAAAAATAAATTTCCTCAGCGAAAAATAGTTTTCAGTAGAGGGGTACTTTTTTGGGTTTTTACATCAAAATCACCTTAATTTTTACCTAAATTGATGGATACCACCTTTACTTTTTTTTTGATGAATACCACATTTACTTGCTAACAGGCTTTTAATGTCACACATATTCATATTTTCAGCCTAAAAACTATTTGACCTGACCATAATACCCTCCAACTTATTCACATGTAAAACACGTGTACCCTATTAACTCGCCCCACCCAACCCATGTAAAAGAAGGCACATGAATCTTTTGTGCCCTCTTCTTCTTCTTCCCTAAACTCAATCTTCCGACATTATATCGTGTCGACAACCAATATTCTAGATCTGTGTTCACTGAACCCCCTCTCCTCTTCTTCTTCTTTCATAAACCCCATCTTCGTTCTTGCTTACATTTCCCTAGTGTTTTGAGTGATATTGTTTCAGTTATCAATGGCTACTGAATATTCAACAGGTTCTTCATATTCTCATGGAAGATCCATGCACATTTTGTGTAAATGCAAATTGATAGCTTCAATGCTAACTTCGAAGACTGAAGCTAACACAGGGAGAAGATTTTTCAGTTGTCATTTCTCAAGTTCTTTAATTTGTTATGAAAGATGTAATTTTTTTTATGTAGTATGATGGTGAGGTTGTTGGGAGGCCAAGGGAAATGGTGAATAAGCTAATTGTTAAGAAGAAGAAAATAAAGGAAAAGCTTCTAGAGATGAGCAAGAAGATGGAAGAGATGGAAGAGGATCTGAAGGGGCTTGCAAATAAAAATAATCAACTGAAAACTGAAAATCTTTCAATGAAGAAGGAGATGTAAAAGATTAGTAGCAGAAATCCAAACTGTTTTTTGCATCCAATGTAATTGTTGTAATCGTGTTGCTTATGTTTATAATAGGTGATAAATAATAGAATGTACCCGGTATATTGTCATGAAAATACGACTTTGCATTAAAAAATGGGGGAAATTGAACTAAATTCATTGTTGTGTCTGCAGTTTTTTGTCACCATTTCATGTGTTTATGTCATTATCCACATAGAAACATATACAGAGCATGCAACTGATGGGAGATATGAGTGCATAAACTCATAGTTAATCGAAGATGAACACACACTTGCAGATGATCACGGTTTTACTCATAGATAGAGGTAAAGTAATCATGCACATAAACTTACTGATTTCACAAATACCACATTTACTTTAATATTTGTTATGGATACCACCTTTAATAATCTTAATGGATATATTTATCACCTTAACTTAAGATAATTTTGATATAAACCACCTGTTATGTTAAGTAATTCACAATTACCACCAAATATAAACAAAATATAGAATTTATAGAAAATACAACTCAAATAACAATTCTGGCATAATAATAGAATTATATGCATCGTTGTGAAGAAAATCATAAAAAAAAACTACATAATTTATACAAATAACCTTAACTTTTAGCTAATTTTATAGTTACCACCTTAAATGTTAACAATGAGTACATAAACCACCTTTTAAGTTCAAGTATATCACAGATACTACCTACAGTTAACAACATATAAGTTAAACTTTTACACATGTCACCATAAGTTTCCAAAACCATTGAGATAACCAAATTTTTCCACAAAAAATAAAAGGAATCAAAGGCTTCCGTGTAGGCTTTGCTATGTTTTTCCCCTTATTGCATTTGTTGTGTTGTCTTCCTCACTTATGGCACAGAAATGCAAACATTACCCCTATTTTTGACTCTGCTCATGTACTCATTTGGTGTTCCTTTTGCTAGAGTTGGTGAGTAACCTGCTGTGTAATCTTGTGTGGGTGTAAAGGCTTGTAAGAGATTGGTTGTTATCATAGAGGGAATCTGCAATTAAGACAAGAAAAATATAATGTATCATCAAGATAGAGACATATTATGTACATGACAATATTTATTCACCTGACCACTTTTATGAGGAGTTCCTGTGTTGAATTCTTATGGTCTCTCATGGCTAGTGCCCTATACAATGAAGATAGATACCTATTGTTGTCAAATTCAAGTTTAAAAAAAATAGAGAGTATACACACAAAATTAAATATATGTGAGATATCATGTGAGGAATGAGGACTATTAGATACATGACAATATTGGATTACCTGACCACTTTCATGGAGAGCTCCTGTGTTGGATTGTTGTGGCCTCTCTTGGGTAGTACCCTATATCATGAAGATGGATACTTATTATTGTCAAATTCAAGTTTTGACAAAAAATGGTTGAAAATACACAAAATTTAGAGACATACCCCTTGAGATAACTTTTTTGGCCTATCCCCTTTATTAGCTTAGGTTAAATTTTTACAAGTCTTCTTGTTGTTCTCCTTTTGTCCATAATTCCTACATCTACTATGCATTTTCTTTTCCTTTTCTCCCTTTAAGTGGATGTAGCTTGCTCTCCAATCTCTCTTCTTCTTCTTTACTTTGACCTCCCTGGTATAATTCTTATTTGAGGAGCACCTGGTTCAGGATATCCTGTCTTGAGCCATTGCTTCATACCAGGTAGAGGTGAGATATTCATGGCATAAGCTAGAATATAGGTCTTCTTTGTATATGCCTCATGCACAAAATCATCAACAGTCATGCCAATTTTAACTAGAGCTACAACTCCATGTATGCAAAGTAAGCCACTGAGTTGCCATTTGTTACATCCATATCTTTTTGTTCCCAGATTCACTATGTAGATATCATCTTCTTTATATGTCATTTTAAAATTTTTATTTCCTACAAAGTCAGTCTTACAGTGTCTTACCTCATGCTTAAGAAATTCAATTTTTTAAATGTCTTTGGCACTAGAAGCCTCTCCATCTTAGCAATGCTCTCTTGTTTGAGCATGAACCTCTTCATAAGCATCCTCCTAATGAACTCCATACATGTGAGAATAGGCTCGTCTCTTGCTTGAAAAATCATTTTGTTGAATGAGTCACACATATTATTCAACGAGCAATCTGACTTGATGCTTTCCTTGAATACATGCAAGCTCCAATGTGAAGGATCTTTAGCCATAAGATAGTTGTAAGCACCCTCATCCATGTACTTGATAATTTTCATTGTCTCATCAAAATTAATTTTTGTAGAAGCCCTACAAGCTCTACACATAGCATCTTTGAAAGACTTCCCAACAAATATTTGTTTAAAGTTGGCATATATATGCCTAGAACAAATTCTAACCTCAACAATAGGTACAACTATCCTCAAAGCTTCAATTAAGCCCTATACAAACATTAAAAGTTTGAGTGTATTAGCATAATGTTGGAAAAATATGCAAATATGTGACATATAAAGTTACAAATATATTATACAGTTTCTATGATTAACACCTTTCTATCCATCAAGTTACAGACCCTCTTGGTATCATTGTGCAAGTAGTAAAAATCATATCCTTTTTGTATTGCATGCAACTTAGGAGCTCTTATTAAAAGCTCATTGGAAGAAAATTTCAAACACAATACCAAGTCAACGGACATGTCAAAATCTTTATCCTCGTTGAATTCTAGATTTAGACTTCCTCATCAACAGAGCCTTGTAAACTCGCCAACTTTTTAGTCTCACCATCTAATTGTTCATCCACCTGAGATATATCATCAAACATCTCATTCATGTTCACCTTAGTTGTTGGTTGTGTTGTAGCCTCTACTTCTTCCTTTAACTCAACGTCCTCCTCATTGGCATCATCATAGTCAGCATCATTAAGATGAAACTCAAAATCCTCATCCTCATTCACCACATTTACATCCACAAGTCCCTCTTTGTCATCAATTTTAGCTTCCTCAGTGGCCTCATTTGCATCACCTAATCCTTCATCAGCACCCTCATCATCATGTTCATCATCATGACTATCACTAGCCCCATTGTCTTCATTATCATCACTAGCCCCATCATCTTTATCAATGCCCTATACAAAAAATTATAATTTTCAGATACCATATTACTTCTAAAAAATATCATACAGATACCACCTTAAACTAGCATAGACTATACAGATAACACGTCTACTCAATATATATTATATAGTTACCACATAATATCAAGTTATGTTATACAGATACCACCTAAAATCATAATATGTTATACATATACCACCTTATATTATATAAATTTACACAGATACCACCTAATATCAACTCATGGAATATAATCAACTTCAACAACAACAATTATGTTCAAAATATACAAATAAAGAATAATATACCTCATTATCATTATATTGAGCTTCCTCAGTTGCCTCATTGTCTTTATTGTTTTTATTGTCTTCATTCACAACTATACATAAAAATATAACAACCATCAGTATATAGGAGAATAAGTCTCATTATTTAGGAGAGTACTTAGGGATAAATACAATATGCTATTGGAGAGTATACCTCATTCTCATCATGTTTAGCTTCATTATTGTCTTGATTAGTATCCTCTACATTTGCATTGCTTGGGCCTGCCTCAGATGTAGTAGCATTATCATCATTTGGTGGTTCATTACGTGCTCCCTCTCTAAGATTAATATCAACCTCACCAGTATATTCTTCGACACTATGCACAATGTAAACAACAGTCCAATTGTTTTTTCCAAGAGAAGCAACCATCACATTGATGTCTCTATCATTAGCAATTTTTCTAATTCCTTGTGCTAAATTTTTTCCAGGAATCTTATAGAAGAGTTCTGCCACACTGTTCAATCTACAGTTCAATTGATCTTTTAGGATAGCCTCTAGCTCCCACTCTGACATTTCACCAACAATGTGATAATGTTTAGTAAAAACTTTACCAACCACATATTTCAATGATCCCCTATTCTTTTCAAATATCCCCCATGATAATACTCTACGACCATAAATTCATACACCCTAAAATTAAAAGAGAAATTACATTAAATACCCTGTTTACTTATCTTAGGTTAATCAATGTATGAATTGAAAAACCACTTCAATAAACTAAATAGCAAATCATTAACCTATACTTTGACATACTTTGCATTTAAGTACCCCCATTTAGTAAATGTGATGCTATTTAACTCAAATTACACAATTATTGCAAATTTCATAAGTAATTAAGCATCATAATGTACAGTTAAGTTAATCGTAGCAATCAAATTCTTTTACATGTTGCAGATCAACACAATGACCAATTTGCCAATAATTACTCAACATATAAACATAAATTAAACTAATATTCTCATTTTACACAATTATTTAAGCAACCAACTTTTCCAATTTAACTCATTTCTTGTTCATTTGTCAAAGCCCTAATCAACCCTAACCCTAATGCACGCGTAAAAATCAATTGACTACTTCTATCTACCAAAAACCCAATTCAAGTTCTCGCCCCAAACAAACCACATGCAATTGGAAAAGTTAAAATAACATTACCTTCACTTGAAGACTCAAACCCACCATAGTCGACAGTCCCAACAAGAATTCCTATTTCTAGACTAAGATGTCGGAGACCCACCTCCACACAAGCACAACCTTGAGATCCCACACCAAAATTAAGAGAATTTTGGGTTTTTTCCCCTTAAAAATAACGGGTATGAGATGGGGGAGAAAGAGCACGCTCAGACAGTAGAAGTTTTTTTGGTGAGAATTTAGGTGGGGTTCGATTATCAGTTTTGGTGGGGACCAAATATTAACCAGAGTTAATAGGTGAGTTAATATGGTACACATGTTTTACACAAAAGGGGGTTGGAGGGTATTATTGACAGGTTGCATAGTTTTTAGGTTTAAACTAAAATAGGTGTGACATTGAAAGTATGTTAGCAAGTAAATGTGGTATTCATCAAAATAAATAAATAAATAAATAAAAATAAAGGTGATATCCATTAATTTGGGTAAAAGTTAAGGTGGTTTTGATGTAAAAATGCTATTTTTTCATGAAAACAACCTTAAAAATAGGTCAAATCAATAGAAACCATCTTTGAAGTTTTTCTTTAATATGTAAACCATCTTATAAGTGTATTTAGTTTTCAATCAATCATTTTTTGTCAATTTCTACTCGACTAATGTCTTAAATATCCAAACTATCCTCATCAATTGCACATGCCTAACACGTGTTTCCTATCTATACATGTGTAAGTAATAAGAGTAGTTTGAATAATTAATATATTAATTAAATAGAATTTGATAAAACGTGGTTGGTTGAAAACTCAATGCACTAAATGTGGTTTAGCTTTTAAAAAACTTACAAGGTGGTTTTTATGGATTCCACCTGGGGGTGCATTTAGTCCGAATACGGCTTAGATATGATACCTACCATATTCATATCCACTTACCCATTTTGGATACGGATTCAGATACGGATATAACTCGGTAAGAAAAATTTATATCCATATTCACTAAAGTCGGATACATATAGGGATATATATATCCAGATATATAAGCGGACATGCATGCAGATACGAAACAGATATGAGAAAACTGGATGGCATTAAAGAAATATAGTTCATGTGATACAAAAGAATGATCATTATATCTAAAAAGATAAGATTAGATATCTTGATCATTAAAATTAACCTCAGATTTATAATCTAAGGACTAAAACTATAGTAACAATATGACTAGTATTTATTCGGATATTGTGGATATGGATATGGATATTTCACTACAAAATCATATTTATAGCTATATCCTATCAGTTATAGATTTGAGTAACTATATTCATATCTTAACAGATACAGTTATAAATTTCTCGGACACGGATACGGTTTAGCACCCATAATTTGGCCTATAAATATCACATTTAATGTACTCCGATGTAGTGGGCCGTGCTCATTTGAAACCCTTGCTGGGCTGGGGTCCAGGTTCAGACTAATGCCGGCCGCTTAAACATTTTCAGGCCATTTAGATCACCGCAGCTTCTCGAAGATATAAGCTTGGAGTTTTGAGCTCTCTTCTCATTCATCGCCTCGCCGTAGTTCCCAATGGCTTCTTCAGAGAAAGATGCAGCGCTCTCTGCTGCTGCTCCCACCGCCGACGATGCTCCCACCATGTAAATATTATTCTCATACGCTTTTCTTTTTTTTTATTTAAAAAATTTGGGTAGATTTGTTGTATCATTGGCTATTTCAAAAGCTTGTTTATTCTAGATATAATCCCACAATTGTACTATTATTTATTAGGGGACAAAAAACAAGAATGGGTTGAAAAGATCTTCGAACAATTTATCTATTGGATGAATGTTTGTTGACAACTCGTGAAGTGATGATGAATTTGGAGGGTTTTTGTAAAACCCATGAAAACAACCTTACCGTTCGTGCAATTTGTTAGATCATGAAAACTCTGATCTAACAAACAGCAGAATTGGAAAATGGAGGACAAATTATAAATAAAATTATTTGCATGACAAAAAGAAAAACAATAAATATCAAAAGAAGAAGAAAAAATCATTTAAATCTAGAAGCAGGGTCAAAAACATCCCAAAAGGCAAACAGGGGACTTGAGCAGGTCCTAGCAACCATGGTTTTGAAAGATGAAGATTTATTTATTTATTATATTGATTCTTTTCGTTCTCTGCCTCTCAAGGTGGTACCGCTACCACTGATGATTGTGCAAGAGATGATGCTAAGAAAGTGTTGTCATAAGTGCAACACAGTTGTATGGTTATGACCTAGAAGTTGCATAAGGATAAAATATGTTCCTTAACTTCATTTTGATAGGTTGAAATTGGGTCAATCCCTTTGTAAAATTTATTTATTTATTTATTTATTTGTTTATTTTGAGAAAAGGGATGGCGTTCAAAATAAACCCCAGCCGTCACGAAATCCCATTAAAGCTCAAGGTTGGTTATACATATGGTATAGCATGCAATCCCAACACCTCCAGATGCATACACCATCAAAGTAAAGCTTGTTACAAAAAAAAAAAAAAAAAAGAGGAGGCAGGCACTGAACCACCCACATATGAACAAACATCAAAACCACCATATTGGCCTCCAAACCAAGTATCTAAACACAGACTGAGCATTAGTTTATATATTACAAAAAACTTTATATCCCACTTGAATGAAACCGTGGTCTCCATCATCCAATTTGCAACACCATCAAGCTACTGCCTGCATCATCTGATCCTCCAATTCTTGAGTCTCCATCACCTGTTCTACTCAATGTTCTCTTCTTCTTCTTCTTCACATAGCATAAGGGCTCCTTGTACCTGGATGGAAGGTTGCCTATCCAAAAATTATAAAATTTGTTAATCTGATTGAGTACCTCCAATGCATGTCTTTTATTTCGTTTAAAAATATGCAAATTGTGTTCATGCCAAACATTCCACAACAGACAACTTATCATAACATCCCATTTCATGTTTTTGGTCCATGGAATACTCTCATTTTTCCGTGACCAAATCTGCTTCACATCCTGAAAGATGCATTAACCAACTGAAACTTATATTTCAAAGAATTCCATAGTGATGACACAAAACTACAATCAATGAAAATGTGGTTTAGTGTTTCATCTTCAGTTTCACATATCCCACTGTTTTTGTGAACACATATGTGTGCCTCTTAATCAAACTTTCTTTGGTACTTAATCCTGTGTTTATTGATCAACCAAATTAGAACTTGGAACTTTTAAGGGCATAGGAACCTTCCAAATTTTACTAAACTCATCTCTTATACCACCATCACTAAGAAAAATATACATAGATTTTATAGTAAAACATCCTTTATTATACAATCTCCATCTCCTAATATCTGGTGCTTCTAAATAATGCACATTATTAATTATACGAAGAAGGTCAGCGTATTTAAGCACAGTCTGGCCTTGAAGCTGTCTAACAAAAGATACCTCCCATTGCCAATCATCGTTCATTCTTCTTCTAAGAGATATTAGGCTTTACAGCAGAGGCATATAAATTAGGGACCCTGGATGCTAATGACCAATCCGTACACCATTTATCTAGCCAAAAAACCCCACCCCCACTGGTATTACTTAAAAGATATTCCAAATTACAAGTAGTATCTCTCCAAAATTTTGATCCTTTAGACTGTAAACTTTCCAAGCCATAACCTCCATCATAATAAGAGTGAGAAATCACTTGTTTCCACTGAACATCCTTATCTGAAAACCAAGTCCACAACCACTTAGTCAACAAAGCCTTATTCATGTTTCTTAAATCTAACAGACCTATCCCACCAAATTCTTTAGGTTTACATAACTCCCAAGTCACCAAATTAGAAACATCACTGATTTTATCATCTCTAGTCTAGAGATTTATTTTAGCCCTATCGATTCTATCACACAACCATTTAGGGAAGTGGAAAGTGGAAAATGGACATCCAAAATAATGGGATAGATGAAAGAACAAAATTTACTGAAGTTAACCTCCCATCCCTAGATAAACATTTCCCTTTCCACATATAATCTCTTATCAATCTTTTCAATCAATGGAAACCGGTAATCTTTTTTTAATTTATAAGACCTCAATGGTATACGAATATACTTGATAGGAAAAGATCAAGATTTACAAGTAAACATGGTGGCTATTTGCTATTGAGTATCCGCATTGTCCTCAAGCAAGACCACAGAGCCATTGTTGAAGTTAATTTTCAACCCTGACATCATCTGAAAATTGTATTACATCAACTTTAAAGCAGTTATATGCTTCTTATTATTCTTGCAGAAAACAAGTGCATGATTTGTATGCTGCAGACATAGAGTCGTCCTCCTTCCATTATCTGGAACCAAGACCCTGAACTAAACCATTGATCTCTACATTAGCAAGCATCCTAGCGAACATATTAGCTCCTAAAACAAATAACAAAGGAGACAAAGGATCCCCTTGTCTTACCGCTCTTTGAGGAACAATCCACTTGCTTGGAGAACCATTCAAGATAATAGCTGATTTGCCACCACATAAGCACTTTGTAATTCACCGAATCCAATTATCTCCAAATCCTTTTGCCTTGAGAACATCGAAAACAAAACCTAATCCAACATATCATAAGCTTTTGCATAATCTAGCTTCACTAACAAACCCCTTTTTCTTATTATAAAAACGATAATTTATTATTTCCTATGTAGTACACACTCCTTCCACCAACCCTTTATGAATCCTATTTGAACAGGATCTATGAGACTTCCAAGCTTTACATTCAATCTATTTGTGAATACCTTAGTTATTATTTTGTAAACCACATTTAACAAACTGATGGGTCTATAATTCCCAACCTCCTCAGCCTCAATTTTCTTGGGTAACAGTACCACATTTGCATAATTAAATCTCTCTATCTCCAACTTTTCTTCATAAAATTCCTTAAGCACCTTTCACAAGTCCTCGTTAATGATCGCCCAATATTTTAGAAAAAGGCGAAAAATCATCAGGTTATGGAGCCTTGTTGATGAGGACATCCAAACGCGTGCACGAGATTTTTGCCGAGTTTATCAGCGCAGGAGACGCTGTGTCTTAGCCTTACATCGAATCCCTACGATGTGGTTTTGATATTTTATGTTTAGTAGTTATTTTTAGCTTTAGTAAATTAGATTTAAATTTTGAATTGTGGTTTAGATTTGATAGTTATTTAGTTTTGATATTTGTTGGATTGTGAGAGATTTGATTGATTGTGAGAGATCGCTAAATCTGTAATTGCTCTATAAAAAGCACTCTGTAATCAGAATTTTAGTTAATGAAGATTTTGAGAAATTAATTGCAATTACCTATGTGCTTGAACGTGTGGAACGTGGGTGTGAAACCTTAGTCCGCTCCCCTGTTCCTTCTCCTGTTCAAGCAGTTGTCGCCCTCCCCTCTCTCCACCTCCACCGTCCCATCTCCGACGGCTTCGACAAAATGCCCCACTCTCTGTCGCGTTCTATTCCGCCCCATTGCCATTCTCAGCCACCAAGATCATCGTCGTTCCTCATCCTCCAACGTCGCTCGTCCTCTCTTCCCTCATATCGAAAGTCACACCGAAGAGACCTTTTGGAGTTGGTTCTCTTTGATCAGATCTGTCCAGTTCACCTGGATCTGATCTAGTTTTGGGGACTGAGTTCACTTGGATCAGACCCACTTGATCAGACCCGATACTAGTCAGTTGGATCTGATTTTCAAATAAGATCTAACTCACACTTGTTCAGACCCGTTTGGAGTCCAGTTCGAGTCCGGTTCGAATCCGCTTCGAACCCCGACTCCGCGACCCATTGGTGCATGGTCGATCCTGAAGCCGAAAACGCCCAGTTCGTGTATGATCCAGAGATAGGCGTGGTTGATTTACAGCTCTCTTAGTGGTTCGATTATCAGCCATTCGAGACCGTAGTTGGATACATTGAGCGCGTGACTCCTAAGATTGTCGAGATCGTGGAGAGCCGTTTGGGATCAACTCGTAGCACCGACGCTTCTATCCAGACACGCAGCTTCATCTCAGTTACATAGCTCTTGGAGGAGAACTTCCACCACTCAGATTTGGTATTGTCACACCGCCTCCAGAGGTCCCTCCCGTCAAACGAGTTCAACTCGACAAAGGTTTAGTTTTCTTTCGACCTAGTTTTTCCGGAACCGCTATTGCATGAATGTTACTATCAATATTAATTGTGATGTATTCTGTTTGATTTAGTGAGTGAGTTATTCCGTTGCTAAGTATATCTGCAAATTTATATATTACGAGTCGAACTTTATTAAGAGAACAAATCATTACATTTATTATCTGAATAATTTACAAAGATCTAAACTTAGTACATTTACAACTTTTGTTTAAAAACCATCTGGAGCTTCACTTTATTCTCAAGCTTCCTGCCTAGATCGATCGCTGATTTGGTGAAACATTGTTATCGCTGTTATCCATACCTACATACACATTATTTCACATCACTTGTTCTCATTCATATCAAATATAACTTTTTTTAATCCCACATAGAGAGAAAGGTGACTCTAAGTCCTCAGCTTCCCAATCAAACTGAGAGAACAATCTCTGCCAATCATCTTCACATCTTTTGATCACTTTTCTACCAATTTTTTTTATAATGACTATGAAAAACTTTTACCATTCGCTCTTCTGAA